AATCTATCAGTTTTGACCAATATGTAGGGTAATAACCTAGAATGTGTGGTGTTAGTTAATTTGGCCTTACGTAAATACACAGCAAATAACAAAGTCAAATATTTGTCGATGGTTGGAAAGCATTTAAAGAATTTTCAAACGGTTGTTTATCTAAAATAAAACAATAACGTAAGTACAAAACAAACGGGTACTAAGCAGGTTTTGATAAGCTATTTATTGCCAATCAATTTTTTTAATCTTTCATGCACAGTATGACGCAAGAGAAGTGTCTAATACATATCTTGTTTAATATAATTCCTTATAACTTTTATATGGATTGTTTGATTCATGGCAAATTTTATATCCATATGAACATGACAAGTTGACCAAATTGCGATTTAATGGCCCATTTAATTGGACTAAAAATAAGCAACTTTTATTAAGCAACTGATGATCTTCTAAAATTACGTTAAATTGAAAAAAAAATCACTTGAAGGTTCGAATAAATTTAAAGCCGTCCCTGGTACGGCAGCCAGCTGTACCTTTGATATCGAAGCTGCCGCGCGCCGCAGTACGAAAGTGCTGATGGCTGTTTTGACGGTTTAAATTTGGTATTCGAAATTGCTGAAATTTATTCAAATCTCGTTTAAAAGTAACACAAAACTTTAAAATAAACGAATAAACGAACTACTTAGCATTTGACGAATGCTCTACAAAAACTGTTCAAAGTTGTTTCCATGCACTGATAAACATGCTTCAAAACGATGGTCAAAATTCTGTCACCAAACACACCACACCACATCAAAAACCGTTGCTAGAACCGAGATCTCTGTACAATGTGAGGATTTGCATTACACCAATAGTGAATGAAGTGAAAATTTAGTACCATATCTGCTAGTTCTTGATCAGAAAACATTTTATACGCCTGCTAAGTAATACTGCAACACACAATGCACGTGCACAAGTTGCACAGGGTCGGCTTACATTTATGATTAATTTTCTTAATTAATTTTCTCGAAAACAGAAGCATTTAGACTAACAGTTGCTCATTTTCGTGCCCTCTATTGCCCTTTTCAAGGAACGCACTTATTTCAGAAACACCCTGTATATATAAAAAACAAGTCTTTAAATTTTTATTAAGTTAGTGTATTTTGTTCTATGGTCTATAATTCATTGTAATAATATTTCTTAATGTAAAAACAGCATGAATAACCTCTTTGAAAAGTATTATTATATATAGTTGTCGAAGATGACTTATTTTCTCCGTTTCGTGACAATAAACAATTTATTTTTATAATTGCATAATTGGGCAAACGCTGCTCCGTGTCCTGACGCTAGCGACCATGGTGCCATCCCGTCTGAAACGCCGCGATCGTGGATGGCACGACATTCTTTCCATCTGAAGACGGACTCGAAAGGTCACGTTCTGCCCACGATGCCAAATCAGCGCGTTCTTCACTAGGTTTGGGATAAAATTAAAACCGAGGTCTAACAATAAATAACGTGTACCAAAGTTCGGGCAAGAAACTCAAAGAAGGCTCTGTTCGATATAGTTAATTCTGTACATAAAAAATATCTTCTTTTTTTTGTAGTAAAATGTTTGTTATTCATTGTAAAATTGATAAGACACTGTAAGACTAAGAGATAATCTAGAATTGTTAAAAATATAGTTCCTGTACGGGTACGAAGGACCAATCAGAAGTGGGATTTTTAGTTACCCAACTAATGTGTTAACATATTTCTTGAAATTATTACCTGTGACAGTTTGAAATATCACAAACGGTAACCGTGTAATTGTTGCATTAATTTGGGTGCTCTTCGAGGAATGTCGGTTTGTTTGAAGCAGGGGAGTTGGCAACATTGCGCTCAACCTGTTCCCGCGAAATGGTTGCGAGGAAATTACCCAGCAATTAAAAACTAAGGACTATCGGCCGAAGGTTCACTTTTAATTTCAAGGTTTCGCAAAATTCGCGTCGCAGCGGCCATAATTTGTGCTCATTTAATACATGTTGCGTTGCGGTTTTGCTATTTTTGTAAAAACTTTTAAGGGCGTTTAAAGGACGTCCATTTTACAATGTTTTTTTTTAACGGTGCTTTGTTTGCTTTTAAATAATTCAAGAAGTTATAACAAAAGTATTGGCGTACAGGGAAACAAAAATAAATTAAATATGTCTGTAGTTTTGAGGTTATGTTTGTGTTTAATTAAAATTTTTTCGGTTTTATGAAACCGAAACTGCTTAATCGATGTCATTGTTCGATATTGTGTAACAAATAGTAATTCATAAGCAAACAATAATTATTACAAAAGTCCAAGTAAAAGGTTATCGGCTAATAATCTATACTGTCTGATAAAAAGCTTTTATTGCTGTTATTGTGGGGAAATATCGTTTTTTTCTCGGAACGTAAAAATCCCATTAATGGAAACCCATTTATTTATTTATTATTTGCTCACGTTTCCATTATTAATTATTTTAGAATTGACCCGACTTAAAGAGAAAGCTGCGGATAGTAGTTATTACTGATTTGTTATTCATGAAATAATTTGTATACATATCTACAATTCTGTTGCATGTATGTTTCTGTTATAAGGAGAGTGAGAGCTACTGATAATAAGTTAACAGCCTAAAGTCTTACTGGGACTATAAAAAGCGTTTGATAGGGTCAATTATCTGCTGTTTCGTGAAATGCAGCATTATATTGGTTCCAACAATGATTCAATTGAAAATTATCTTACTGGTAGGAAACAATGTATGATATATATATAATATTATTTTATTAGTATTTTCATCACCAGGTGGTTACCGGCGGAGTGCCACAAGGGTCTATTTTAGGTCCCTTATTTTTCATTATTTATACTTTGTAATTCAATATATCCAATTTAAAAAAATATGGCCAAGCATATTTACAAAAAACTAGATTTCTCTTGGTGTGAGAATAAATTTGAGTTTCTTGTATCTGCAGTAGTACTTATTTCGAATTAAGCTTCTCGAAAAGTAACAAGAAGCCGATACACTGTAAGCTCTAGTTCTAAAGCCATTTGAAGTTGTTTGTAGTAATGTTTATTTCATCAGCAGTTCTTCGAAATTTAACGTAGTCACTATAATCCAAGCAATGTATCTAAAACCGTTAGTAATAGTGATTGTGGGATATGTAGTTCCTCGAAATCTGTAGTAGGTCCACTATCTCCAAGCTCTGACTCAAAATTGTTCTTAGTAACGCTTATTTAATTTATATTTTCTTGCATTTTAACGTAGATTCACTATAATCCGAAATAAATATAAAAAATTGCGTGTTCTTGTTTGTAGTAGAGTTTATTTGGTTTGTAATTTCTCCAAAATTGAAAGAGAGTTTATACTCCTGTATATATAAATTCGTTTGTAGTTATTTGTAATACCAATTAGTTTATTTGTATTATTCTAAATTTAATGTAGTCACTATAATCCAAATTAAATATCTAAAATTGTTTTTATTAGTGTTTATTTCGTTTGTAATATCTCGAAATATATGGCCACAAGCTGTGGCCATAGAATCGTTGAAGCTGTTTGTTGTAATGCTTGGCGTTTGTAGTTCCTCGAAATTTAACGTAAATTCGCTATAATCCAAGCTAGGTATCTAAAATCGTTTTTAGTAACGTAGTTGTTATGCTTGTTACGTTTGTAGTTCCTCGAAATTTAATCTAGTCACTATAATTCAAGCTAAGAATACAAAATTGTTGATAGTAGTCCTCATTTCGTTTGAATTCTTCAAAATCTAACGTGATTCACTATAATCCAAGCTAAGTGTCTATAATCATTTGTAGTATTGTCACTATAATCCAATTATCTAAAATTGTCTGTGGTAGCTTGTATTTCATTCGTAGTGTCTCGAAGTCTGTAGTAGTCACTATACTAAACATTGTTGTAGTAGCGTTTATTTGTTTTGTAGTTCCTCAGAATCTCTAATAGTCACTATTCTTCAATCTCCTTCTCTAACATAGTTTATAATTTGTAGTAGAGCTTAATTTCGCCTGAAGTTTCTCGTAGATTCACTATAATCCAAGCTAAGTGTCTATAATCATTTGTAGTATCGTCACTATAATCCAATTATCTAAAGTCGTTTGTGGTAGCGTGTATTTAATTCGTAGTCGCATTCGTATTCGAAATCTATAGTAGTCACTATACTAAATATTGTTGTAGTAGCGTTTATTCGTTTTGTAGTTCCTCAAAATATATAGTAGTCACTATACCTCAACGTCTGCCTCTAACATCTGTAATTTATAGTAGAGTTTAAGTTCGTCTGTAGATTCTCTAAAATCCAAGTTACGTATCTAGAATAATTTGGAGTTGTTTGTAGTAGCTTTTATTCGATTGTGGTTCCTTCAAAACTAACTGACAGTCACTATATTGGAAGCTGTAGATATAAAATAGTTTGTAGTTTGTAGAAATGCTTATTTCGTTTGCAGTTCTTCGAAATCTATAATAATTGCTATACTCTGGGATTTGGTTCTAAAATCGTTTGTAGCTGTTTGCAGTAGCTTCTGTTCCGTTTGTAATTCCTCCAAAACTAAGGGAAAGTCACTATTCCTCAAGCTGCAGATATATAATCTGTTCTAGTTGTTTGTAGTAACGACTATTTCGTTTGTAGTTTCTCGAAATTTAATGTAGTCACTATAATCCAAGCTGAGTATCCAAAATCGTTTGCAACAGCTTTTATTTCATTTGTAGTTTCACTATACTCCAAACTCTGGATGTAATATCGTTTGTAGTTTGTAATAGCGACTATTTCGTTTGTAGCTCCTTGAAAATCGAAGGCGAGTCAATTTGTTCAACTAATTTTCTTGGTCTAAAACAAAGAATAGACTGGTACATTTGTGAAAATTATTTCTAAAACACCCTGTATACTCACATGATACGAGTATCTTAAAAATTAACCTACTGTTTCATTGTCAACATGAAAACGAATACACTAATTTACATTTAATCTTTTTGGAATAAATGGTGCCTTAAGTATAATCGTTATGTAATTTTTCTGTTTCAGATCCTGCGAACAGAACTATACAATTTGGACGTTGCCGCACCCTGGCACGCGTGCCGTACTAATTCGAAGACTATTACACCGCACCATTTTGGGCTGTTTGAACAGCTCCACGCCTTGTTCTTCTGCACGTGCCTGCATTATCAAGCCAACAAAGCCGTGCCTTCCTAAGTCAAACGCAAACACGTTCCTTTGTCACCGATTAGTCAACCAATTAGAAAATGAGACATCACCGCGAGTGACTAAAGTGTACCTTACAACAGGATAGCCCGTTCCCGCGAGTGTTCTTTTTCCCAATCATGCTTTTGAAAAAAACTGCTGTAGTGTAGATTGTGTTCTTTTAGAGTGGAAAATGTTCGATAATTTGATAACTCGGATAACGAGTCCTTCTAGTAGAAGACGACACACTTATCATTGTCCTGAGGTGCATTCCGATCCTGAGGATCACGAGCCTGTCACCCCCAGGAAGCCGAGGTTGTTGGAGAGGAGGAAGAAGGGACGCAGGGCAGTTGAGACTGGCCTGAGGCAGGCGAGGAGTTTGGGACGGTTAGACGGGCTTAAAGAGGTGAGTAATTTTTTTAATGCTTGTATTCTTTGAAATTTGTGATTCACTTTATGATGATCTCACGTGCAATGTGAATCAGAATATTCAGTAAATAGGAACAGATGTAGAATTTGAAATTTATTGTACTATTGTGTTACATGACCTTCAACATTTACAATTTTTTTAGTCAATGTAACCAATAACATTCCAAAAAAAATAATCAGATTTATTTAGAATGTCATAGAAAAGCAAACATAATTTTTTTTATAAACTTTACGCTTATATTATTGTGGCATATTTTTATGACTTTAAATTAGCAGCACTGTAAGAAAATTAAGAAATAGACTGTAAAAGTCGGGGCTATGCCGATTTTTTCTAGGAAACAATCGAAAGTAGTAGGTATATACAGAGTGGTTCAGTCATAATGTCATTAATTTTAACCACGTATTCGGAAAGCCTAATAAATACAGAAAATCGAAAAAAAAATTTTGCTCGGCCTTTGAAAAAATAAGCACATTACCACTTAATTCCCAGTATTTCGGCGCCCCATTTCACAACAGGGAACGCGCCGGTGGATTTTAGAGCGTTCGAATGTTGAAGCGAAACATCTGATTTCCTCAGTTGTCTTGAATTTTGCAATTGGCTTCAAAATCAAAGTGCAGCAGATCCCAACTTTATTAACAAAGTGCTATGGACGGAGGAGTGAGTGTTTTTTTTAGCCCTACTGTCATTTTAAATAGGTAGGTACCATACTACTCTTTGAAGAGCTATAAATCTCACAATAAGCTATACGTACTACAAACCGAATAATTAATTAAACATAGTACCTACTAAAAACTCATATTCAATTATAAAACATAGTGATAACACTAACAGTATTAAAAATACTCGATTATAATAAACTAACATTCGAAAATAATGATCATCCTTATACATTTGTTTTTATTAACAAATAAATACTACTTGATAATATTTAAAATGTAAAAAAATATATTATTCATTCATGTGTTTAGGTGAAAAGATCTGTTTTTACTCGTTGTCGTTTACTACGGATTAAAAACTCATTAAAAGCTAGGTTATTGACCCAACATTACGGTAGGTCAAGATTCACTCTCGATAAACCTTTCTGGGCCAGCGATCAGGAGCAGTGCTAAAAGGGGTTTAAATTATTTGAAAATATTTTTCTCTACTCTACTCATTTATCCCTTAAATTATTAACATGACTGAATCACCCTGTATATACTTTGGTATTAAATGTCTAAAGTAAGAATTCTAAAATGAAAAAAAATTATCACACGGAGGTTGTTCAGGAATTACATGACATAATTGGGAGTTACATCGAACGTTTTATATGAATTTGGAAACAGTTTTAGATTTTGGGCTATTTGTATCTACAGGGTGTTTCTAAAATATGGTGTCAAACTGAAAATAGAAGATTTTAGTAATTTTAAATAAAAAGTTTCTTAAAAAGATGTCCGAAAATGCTTAGAAAAAAAATTTAATTTTTTTTTCGAAAAACTCAAAAATGTAGATATTTTAGTTCTGTTTACAAAGTGTGAAATATGTATTTTAGTTGAACAACTTTTAAAATTCAATTGCAGTCGTGGAGGAAAAACTATACCTTGTTCTGTAGCTCCAATTAAGTATGGTGCAAGAATTATTTTTCTTATTTTATAATACTTCAACACTTAATTTTCACGTTTTCTATTAACATAGCTAATGAAATATCTACAATTTTTAGTAAACGCAAAATAGACTGTTTTCTATACCTATACCTAATGTAATACAAAATACATTTGAAATGACAAATGTTCTCTTAATATGTGTCTTGCTGACAGGAATTTCAGTGATAACCACATAACCTTTGTTTTCTATATCTTGTATTGTCATATTTATCAGTTATTTTCCTCTGTAAGCCCAATGAATACCCTTTATTAAAGTAATTCGGAAAAAACATCATAATTAGAGATACTGATACGTCCCCTCATTAATAAATTGATTTGACAATATGTGTATATTGATATTTTCATGTAACATTCAATATACTTTTTAACTGTAACTTTTTTAATTTCCTCTTAAAATAATTCTCTACCGTTCCAGTTTGTTACCATGTTTTAAAAACATAACGTACGTTATTAAGATCCAAAGACTAATGACTCGATGGAAAGACACTGTATGACATTAATTACTAGAAATTTTTTAAATATCAAACGTTAATTATGCAAATAAGCAACGATATTATATCAAAACCTAAGACATAATTGATTACTTCATAAATACTATATTGACAAAGCTTTGCATAACTTATGCAGTAGATTATTATTTATTTAATTCAGGAGTTAATTAAGAGATGTTTTGATCTAATGTATTACTGACCCAAATTTCACGAAAAACAGGTAAAGATAACTATTGTTTGATTCCTGCACTCACACAGTAACATACTTAACATCTTTCTATTTCTTAATTAGACACGTTAGTTACATTTACAACACAATATTTATTACAAGAAAGTGATTATGTAAAACTGTGTTTGTTTATGTTTTACATATGTAGATTGTTATACAGTGTGTATCAGCCAAATGGAATAAATTCAGTAATAAATAAATGGGATCGTGTTCGAAAAAACGTTCGGGCACGTCAATTGGTATTTTTAGTTGTGTATTTTTTTCATGAAAAACTTTTTATATAGTGTGTGTCATGTAACAGTCATCATTACCAACTTTCTTATTTTAAATGCAACACCTTTTATATTATTCAATTTTTAGATTCTTCAGAAAATTCTAGACATATTTCATGTACAGTGTCTACTTATCTTCAACTGTTTCGGAAATATTAAGTGTTTTCAGATTTATTGCAAAAGTTAACATTAAAAAAAGAGAATTATTTGATTACAGAAATTCGCTACAACACACTCAAAAACTAATAAGTAATACTTTTTATTTATTGATAATATAAACAAGCAAGAAAAACATTAATGTCAATGTAGGAGATGTTCAAAATGCTCGCAGCGAACGTCTTGGCAACATCCTAATCTTAAATGTAAATTTCTTTTAACGTAGCATGACACTAAAGTTAAAAAATGTTTCTCTTCAGAATAGAATAGTGAGCCATCCTGTATATTTACAGTCACATTTTTGCCATGAAAAATTGTTCCACTTTATAATCAAGGTTGGCATGATATATGTCATTGATATTTATCCGATATATATCATTGATATCTATCACGATATTTATTTTTTGATATATATCATGATATTTGTAAAAATTTAAATAATGATTCCTACTGGTTTAAAGTTGCTAAAACTGTTAACAGATGGCAGCAAAACCGTATGCTAATAGTTGATGAACGTGTTTATTTATGTGATTCCCCGAATTTTTCAACAAAGTAAAATTGAATGAATATTTTTATTTCATTATTTCTCCAGGTGTTAGTCAATTCGAGTAGGTGCTGTGTGTTTGTATTTGTTTTAATATTTATGACATTTATGTTGACTTGGTGCAAATTAGTTATTAGTTTCAGAATTTATATTTATTTTTTCATTATTGTTTTTGATATTTGGAATAAACATATTTACCTAAATAGTTTCTTAATTTTATTTCGCTACTATAATATTATACATAAACTAATTAATTAAAAAAAAAATAAATATCAAGACTTGATATATATCGGATATATATATCAAGATATATATCCGATCTTTGATATTTATATAAATATCATGATATTTGCCACCCTTGTTTATAATGTAATATGTTGATTTTTTCGAAAGAAGGAATAAAACAAATGTCACCAGAATTCTTTATCCATTAAATTAAAGACAGAAAAAATCCTCATAAAATCAGGAGAAACTCCTAAAAAATCTTTTATATCAATTATTTCGCCGATGTAAACCTTTACCAGGCGGCTGTACCCTGAAGAACCCGACCAGCGCTACCAGCAGCGACCTCTGACCGGTTCTGAAAAATTCCGAGGTACAGTAATGCCCCCCATAAAATACCTATAAATATCGCAACGCAGTATATTATCCATAACTATGCAATGCGCGGCATATTTCACACTTTTACGTCACATAATGGCGAAGTATTTCACGTATTTGGCCTTGTAATACAAGTACTGTTAGGTAATACAAGACAATCGTTGTGTACACGGACCCGCGGCCTTACTTTTTCAGCGAGAGCCGCGCACATTGCGAGGGAAATGTATCTCCGAACGCGGACGGTGACTTTTGGGTTTTCGTCGTAAAGGCGCCCGTACACGTCAAGAGAAAGCTTGAGGTTTGGAAATGTTAGTTAGGTGTAAGGTTTTATATATTACTATTGTCAAAAACTTGGAACAAAATTGCGATACACAAATATTGAATACTATTTTCTAATAAACAATGCAAAAAATTAAAGGATCAAAAGAATTTCCGAAATTTTTCTGTGATTTTTTACTGTACCTATTTAGGTGAAAAATGGTCGTATCGGGAATTAAAAAAAAAGCATTTTGAAGCTCTGAGATTCTAGCTTTTGGATCTTTCGGTCGAAATTTTTTAGAGCTACGGTTATCATGCAGTTCTAAGAAATAGTCCATGGAATTGGAATATTTTTTTTCAGCTAAGCCATTGCATGGGTCAGATGGCTTGTTTATTCAACTTCCATTTCCTTTTTTTTAGATTTCAATACGACTATTTTTCATCGATATATCGGACTTTCAATGAAAAAGGATCCCTTTGTCTTCAATCATCGATATCTCGGCGACATATGGTCGTACAGAGAATTGAAGGGCAGTTTCGAAAATTGGAATACATTTCCTACAACATCCTGCCGCAACTTTTCGGAAAAAAAATTGTATTTTTATCTTTTACATGAATTTTAAAAATCTAGAAAAAGGGTAATCTATGGTTTCTTTAGGAAATTGATGGCTTTAGAAATATTAAAATGGGAAAAATTTTTTTTCGCATTTTTACCGCAAATAACATTTAAATTGAAGTAAAAAAAAAAATTCGAAAGTTTTGAAGTTTTTGTTTTGATTTTTTGGA